CCCGACCCGAACCGAAATTTCGGGTCGGGTTCGGGTTGGCCTATAACCCGACCCGACCCGACCCGTTCGGAGCACTAATACGTACATATAATTTGTAATTTTATTGAATCTGCCGAAATAATAACTTATTGGTCGCTTCGCACCCAATACGTAACTATATATTATTGGCTGCTTCGCATCCAATAACTCTATAATATTTGATTTGTTATTTGTACTATACGTTTATTATTATTGTACATTTAAAATTTTTTTGTATTTAATTAACGTGAAACTTGTTAATTAGATATTTAAATAAGGGCGAATTTTTTGTTCAATTAATATATATATAAATAAAAGACATAGTTTATCCCACAAGATGCCCAACCCTAATTCAGAGACACTTGAACTGAATTTACTAATTTCCTATTGGACGAAAAAATTCTGCTTTTAATCGATCAAATAATGAAGCAGCATAAAGGCTTAATAGGACATACTATACTAAAATTTTGCAAGGAGTTTTTTTGTTAAAATACGAGAGGTGGGTTTGTAAACAAAATTTTAAGTTATGGCAATTTTTGAAAAGCTTCGATTTTTTTTTTTGAAGTTTTATGTTACACCTGATCTTATAATTTGATTGGAAGACGAAGAGTGGCTTAGTCTACTTTTTCCAATCGGAGAGGGGCATTTGCTAATATCCAATCAGAACTTGGGGAGAAATTAAGGGAACCATATAATTTCATTATGTATCCTTTGCTACGTTCCGGACAATAAATCATACACGCCATTTCATCACGTTCCAGATATCTAATTCGATAATGATAATTTATTATATCACGCAAACATTCAAGTGTCGTTATTGGCGACCATGATGTTGGCAAAGTACGTAGAAAATATTTTATACGTTCATTCCTTATAATCCTTATAATTGTTGTTTTAATTATTTATTCAGTTATAATTTTTATGCTGTAGACTGAACTTCTGATAGTTTACACAACTGGAAAATTTCCTGAAGGATATGTTCCTAGGGTAAGATTTTTGAATAGCTACAAAAAATAATTTAATATCATCTCATCGAGTGTGAATGTCCATACAGGTTTTTGATAATTATAAAGTTACCGTAATGATTGGTGATAGGCCATATATTTTATGTCTTTATGATACTACTGGTGAATATTTTATTTGAAACTACAGTCAAACCCCTCTATAGTCAGTCACACCTTTGGGATACAAAAAACTGTGGTTGTAAAGAGATGTGACTAATATAGAGGTATTTTCTATATTGTTATAAATAATTGGTAAAAATAAATTAGTAATTATATTAATTTTGTGACTATAGATGAGGTGACTATAGAGAGGTTTAACTGTATTCAAATATTACTTTCTTATTTATTTTAAATAATATAATTTTTTAACTTATTTCAATTCCTTTTCTATGTTATATGCCGTATAATTGATTTTGTCGTAAAAATTGTTAACAGGTCATGAAGATTATGATCGTCTCCGTCCTCTCTCCTATTTTCAAACAGATGCATTTTGGTTTGTTTTTCTGTAGTATCACCAGCTTCTTTCAAAAATGTCAAAGAAAATGGTTCCCTGAGGTTAATTGTCATTGTTCAAGAATTCCATGCCTGATTGTTGGTATTCAAATAGAGTTGCGGGATGATCCATTGGCGATTAAACAGTTATCACGACAAAAAATGAGTCCAGTAAGTTCAGAACAAGGAGAAAGACTCGCACAAGAATAGGTGCAATTAAGTATGTTGAATATTCAGCTTTAACTCAAAAGGGTTTGAAAAATGTTTTTGATGAGTCAATAGTTGCTGTGTTGGACATTGTAATTAGAAACTGTTGTTTGGATATGATGTCTTTATTAAATAAAATGAGGTATGATACTGTAATTATAGTTATTAGGCAAAACCTAGGGGATTCGCGTTTGCGAAAGTTGAAAATCTGGTTTCAGCCTTTTTTAAAAAAATTATAAAAAGGTGAAATGGCGAAATTAGCGAAACATGGCAATACTAGAATGGCAAAAAAAATCGACAAAACTAAAAACTGGTAAACGAAGGTTAAAGTAACACTTACAAAGCTAAAATAAAAATGAATGAACATTTATGTTGTTCTGCACTTCGCTTGCCATGGCTAGAGTAGTAATTAAAGAACGGTAGATTATTCTAATCATTTGATTGGATCGATCAATACTCTGCATTTCGTTGTATATTTAGAATTCTTTGTTTTTACATAGAATTCTTTATTTTCATTTTGACCAATTAAACTCTTGACAAAACTGTTACAATTGGTCAAGGTCGATCAATGATCGGTTTGTGCAAAGTCCGATCAAACATCATACATTGTACGATAGTTTGAAGAAAATTTTGTATTTTATAATAATATAATCTAATCCTTTAATAGATTAAATGAAAGATTTCAAGTTTGAAGGAAATTCTTTATTTTAGAATGATATAATCTATTCCTTTAATAGATTAAATGAATTTTTGGCATCATAACAATCTTGACATGACAAAATCTGTTACCTTATTTCGTCATGAGTTATGAAAATTATAAAAAGTTGGCTTTTAGCGTTTGCTTGAGATTTATTCACAAGTCATCAATAAATTAAAGCAGCAAACATATTTATCAACAAATTTACCATTACAAATAAAATGTTTTCCAACTTTGAAATACACAATGTACTTTTAATTGTGCTATTCATAATTACAGTATCAATTTGCGATAACCTTCGCTATGGAAATTTAAAATTGGAAGCAATCCAGAGCTTTTTTTTGGAAAACATGGAATACCTTTTCATCTTTGCATGCCAGCTTATTTTTTTGTACAGATTCAATTTGATATTCAAAACCGAAACTGAAAAAATAGAAAAAGCTACATTAGCTCTTAGTGATGATATTTATAAAATACGCGAAGCATTCCAAATTGAAACTAAAAATATCAATGATACTATTTTTAAAATACGTGAAACATTCCAAATTGAAACTAAAATAATAGAAATTGATATATCAACACTTGGTGAAACTTTCAAAACTGAAGCTGAAAAAATCAAACAGAATATATTGATTTTTAATAGTAACATTAGTAAAATCCATGAAACTTCTCAAAATGAAACCAAAAAAATCAAAAAAGAGATACTTGCTTTTAAAAATGATATTAATCAAATACGTGAAATTTCCCAAATTAAAGCTAAAAAAATCGAAAAAGACATATTGACCCTTAGTATTAAGGTTAATAACGTACATGAAAATTCTCAAATAGCAACTAAAAAAGTCGAAAAAGATATAACAGTTCTTAAAAATGACATCAGTCAAATACGTGAATCTAGGCAGAAACATATTCTGCAAGGTACAGTATATAATCGTTTTGATTCATGTATCGATTTGAGTCAAGCTAATTTCAACATTATTTTTTGCTAGCAGGTTCAAATCTATCTTTGACCACAAATCGTAAAGACGCAATACGGTATTTAGAATATTCTGACACAGAAACACTTCGGGAAGACTTTAAGTCCTTCGTTAATCAAAGAAAAGACAAGGAAAATAAGAAGATCACTCCAATGTTTGCAGCGTTAGAAGCAGAGATTAGTATAAGCTCTAGCTGCATGCGTGATTTTTATAAAGGTATAACAAAAAATCCAAGAGCAACTACATTGAATGAAATTAGAAACTGGGTTAATAATGAAAAAATAAAAAATAATTTAAACAGCTTCTTCTTCCATTAATTTTAACATTAATTATAAAATACACCTATGATGGTTTACTTAGAACATCTCACATCGATTAATTATTCAGTTTTTAAGACAATATATGCATAGATATAAAACACCAAAGATGCGTTTTAGTAAAAGTCAATTTTAAATATGTTCTTCTACTAAGATTTGTTATTACAAATCTTGGATGTTCAGAAAGAAATAAACATGTATATCTTATGAATTTATTAAATTTATGATTTCGTATATATTTACTACTATTAAAGTATAGTCTGCCTTCCTAAATCAGTATGTTTTGAGAGATTACATATTGTATTTAATGTATACAAATGTTTCTTGACGTACGTATCTTTTTCGTTTAAGGTATCGCCTGTTTCGAGAGAAGTCGATATAAAAGTAAACTAAGATATTATGAATTTGAAAAATAAATATTTACACTTTTAATCAAAATTTTAACGTGAAAAAATTGCTGTTAAAAATTTTATATATAAAACATAAAAATTTAAAAACACATAATAGGTATGACTTCCGAAACAGATAAACACAAAATAAAAGAAGCAGACATACAACTAGGGTTAGGAAAGAGGCATTTTATAATAAAAATTTTGTAAGAAATTTTTTTAATTAGAACGAATCGGACCGGGCGGATAGTTTTAAAGACCCGGATCCGGTCCAATGAATCCAAGTTTTGGGTCCGAGTCCGGATTCGACCGCACGGCTCTGCCTTTATAAAAAACTTCTCTCTTTACAGCTGTTTTCATAATTTCTGAAACGCCTGATAAAAAATGATTTTTCGGCCGTTTCGGTTAAGTTATTGTTTCGGCATCATAGATTCAATAAAATTACAAATTATACGTACGTACGTATACGTATACGTATAACTTTTACATTAATTAATGCAGTAGCACATGATTATTGTCCTGCATTACAAAAAATTTTCAGCATTATTAGACTTTATGTGCCAGCTCTATAAAAGTTCTGGACAACGTTATTTAAATAACAAAAATTACATATCAGAAATTTACACGCAAATTTCCACCCTACATATCCCTATATTCATTATATATGATACTTTTCTACGATAATTTTAAATTATAAATGTCAATATTATTAAATTTTCGTTTAAATACTTGCCCAACATGTTTAGTGCTGTAGTGTGTTTAGTCTGTGCGAAATCATATATATTTCAAATTACAATGTACTTTATATGTTATACAATACCAAACATTTAGTTATCACGTGAAGCAAGAAGAAAAACAAAATGGCCGATAAAAAAAATTCGACCATACGAAGATCCGAATCGATTAAATGACCAAATAGAAAATCTAATACAAAATTTCTACAATTATGTAATGGAATAAAATCGAATATAGAACATACCCACCGAAATGATTTACATAAGTAACCGGAAAACACCCGGACATTCGAATCTAACATTCGGCCGTTGAAACGTGAACTCACTCAATGTTTAAATCACTAATCCATTTTTGAGTTTATTTTTGAAATCACTAATACATCAACTGTAGTGCTCCTAAAGAGTCATTCGGGTCGGGTTTGGGGTTGAACCCAAATTTGTTCGAACAAACTCTGGTTTGTATAACACTAATAGAAGGACTACATTTCAATATTATTGTTTGTAATTCAAACTAATTATATTAATTACATCATTTATTATTAATTTAACTAATCATACGATATTTAACTATCATTGATTTTGACATACTTTTCATGCACATTATACTTTCACTATTGATTGCCCGTGATTTAATCACTTGGGGTCATGTGATAAATTTTCAGGTTTTATGTTCTGGGGTCGATTACCCGGGTTTACTGACCCCTTTCGGAGCACTAATCAACTGTTAACATTATTAATCCAAATTATTAACTCACTACTAAAATCGGCACCCACTCGCTGCTGAAATCACAAACTACACATTACTAAATCATTAACCGTTCACCGTCGTAAATCAGTTATGGCCTATTGGCTAATAATAAGTTATGATCTTATGACATAAAATTTTACTATATATCGATATTACATTATGACCACCTTGATCATGTAAAATTGGGCATGACCTAAAATAGTCAATACTGCTATTGATGCTATTGACCAACCGCTACTAAATCATGAACTCACCCATTATTGAAATGGTGAAGCCTTGAAATCGTTTAATCACGCACTGTTGAAATTACTAAATACCCATCATTGAAATCTCAAACCCACCCACTATTAAAATCTCAAATTACGAACTTACCACACTAAAATCAGAGTAAACATAGGTCATTTCTCAATCGATGAAAAAATTTAAAACATAGATTATACAACCAGGCGACAACAATTATTCGACAGATAATAAAATATTTAATTATATCGTAAACGTTCTTTTGCATCAAATTTACATAAAATTTTGCATATGAAATTAAAAAAAAATTTTGAATTAAATTACTGCTATAGCAAAAAAAAAAACTTTATATAAATTTAAATAAAAAAATATCGCATAATTGCATAGCAAGTTACTTCGTTAGTAGGAACAAGCATTAGATTTTTTTGACAGTGACAACAATTTGAATGATTCGGTCAATTATTGATAGATTATTATAAATTAATTTATTAGCCCATCGCTATATAATTGTTATGTAATAAATTATTACTTAATAAAGATATTATCGTTATCGTTATTTTGGTAGATTTACTAGTTTATTATTTTTATTAAAGCTCGCTTGTCTCATCAAAATAGTTTTGTTTAGAACTACATTAAGAAAAAAATAATCGGGGTTTTGAATACCAATTTTCAAGTATTCCATACCAGCAAGCAACTTGATATGAGACAATATTAGGCTTTTTTTGAAGTGCTTGGTAATTTACTCTTGTCAATATCAGGTATACAAATTTTTATTAATTCACCAAACTCGAATGTTAATCTTATATTTTTACTCTTGTCAATATCAGGTATACAAATTTTTATTACAGTCGGCCCCCTCTAAGTGCATCCCCTCTAAGTGCATCCCCCCTAAGTGCATGACCTCCTTAAATGCATATTAATTTTCTGGCCCAAATATATACTAAACTCTCATAAATGCATTTATTATTATTATTCTCTAAATGCAAGCCATCAAAAGTTTGGTCCCAGATATGCATTTATGGAGGGTTGACTGTAATCCACCAAACTCGAATGTTAATCTTATATTTTTCTTCTATTCTACTTCCAGGTTTCTCTTTAATTGACTGTCGAACCGTTTCATGCTGTTTAAAAAAATGGATGAGTCAAATGATGGCTATTAAACAAAAATTTTTTTATTCATTAATATTTTATTTATTTCTGTATTTAATATTCGATCAAAGGTTTCATGCACCAGAAAGTCGTATCGTTCCATTTTTTAAAAATTAATATGAAAATAAGAAAGCTATATTTATAATTAAACATTCAAGATTTTAATTTATTTATTTATTTTTTGCATCAACTAATATGAGTTCTAATTTTTTATTAAACTTCGGGATAAAGTGACGACCCTTCCATTTGCTGTTGGGTGACAAATAAGTACTAATTATATAAATAAATTACTGTAGTTAATGCTTATTTGTCACAGAAAATTGGTCACAACCCAGCGGCGTCATCTCGTCATCTAGATTTAAAAATTATTTATGGTGTTAATCTAATTGTTACCATCACGTGAATACGATTTTTACTATAATTCGCCCACCCTAAACAAATATTTTTTTCAACTGCTGCGTAATTTAAATTTTAATTTTCAAGATCTAAAGCTCGCATTTCAAGATTTAAACTTGCATCCAAAAAATAGGCGAAACCTCCACAATGATAGACTTCATAAAATATGCTGTATGTGACAAAGAAAAGTTTTATATATTTACACCAGAACTTTTTGTTTAAGCTATGCAATGTTTTACTGGCGCAAGATTTAA